TATGGCGGGATCTTTCTCACGTTGTTTGGTGGAGGAGGACCGGGAGGAGCGGGAGAAGGAGCGGGAGGAGGGGTGGGAAAAGGAGCGGGAAAAGGAGGAGTGGGAGGAGGAGCGGGAGGAGGAGCGGGAGGGGACACGAGAAGGGGCGGAGGAGCTGCAGGAGGAGGAGCGGGAGAAGGAGTGGCAGGGGAAACGGGGAGGGGGTTAAGAGCGGGAGAAGGAGCACGAGGAGAAACGGGTAGGGACGGAGGAGGCACGGGAGGAGCGGTAGGAGCGGGAGGAAGAGCGGGAGGGGAAACGGGGAGGGGGTTAACGAACGCGCGGGAGGCGGAGCAGGAGGAGATATAGGTGGAGGAGGAGAAGCGGGAGGATCGCAAGGAAGAGCGGGAGGAGCGGGAGGAGGAGGAGCAGGAGGGGGAGCATGAGAAGGAGAGGGAGGAGGAGAGGGAGGAGGAGCAGGAGGAGTGGGAGCGGGGCTATGGCAGGATCTTTGTCACGTTGTTTGCCATAGGAGCAGGAGGGGGAGGAGGAGGAGGAGGAGTGGGAAGAGCGAGAGAAGGAGCGGGAGGAGGGGTGGGAGAAGGAGCGTGGAAGGAGCAGGAGCGGGGCTATGACACGGGAAGAGGAGAGGGAGAAGGCGGGGAGGAGGAATGGGGGAAGAGCAGGAGAAGCAGCGGGAGAAGGAGGAGCGGGAGGAGCATCAAGAGGGGGAGCGGGAGAAGGAGAGGGAGGAGGAGAGGGAGGAGGAGAGAGAGGAGGAGAGGGAGAAAGAGCTGGAGCGGGGCTATGGCAGGATCTTTGCCACATTGTTTGTCGGAGGACGAGCGGGAGGAGGAGCGGGACGAGCAGGAGAAAGAGCGGAAGGAGGAGTGGGAGAAGGAGCGGGAGGAGTGGGAGGAGTGGGAGAAGGAGCAGGAGAAGGAGTGGGAGGGGAAACGGGAAGGGGTTGCATCTCACAGCTCCTTAGTCCATACTCACACCGGGATTTCTTTTCCCGACGGTTTTGCGAAAGGTTCCTTCTCATTTTGCACACTGGCAGGATGCTCAGTTGATGCACACATGAAACTGTTGAAGTGGCCATGCCTGGGCACGCGCGCGCGCATGTGTGTGTGTGTCACAGAGAGAGAGAGAGAGAGCGTTTTCCAGCCATGCGTGCAGACAGATAGAGAGAGGCTACTTCCATCGATAGGATGAGAGAG